GGGCCCCCGCGCCCCGGGGCGCTTCCTGCCTCCGCCCCTCTCCGGGCCGGTGCCGAGGACCCCCGAGGGCAGGCCGGCACCCTCCGAGCCCGGCTCCGACAGGCCGCCTAAGCGCGTCCATGGCATCGCTGCCAACTGAAGTTTAATGCACAGGCTTATTACAGCTGGACTCTTGTCAGAAATCAATAGCGCTCCTCATTGGAAATAGCCTCCCGACGGTCTCCGCGAGGGTACGGCTAATCGCATGAGAACACACCACGGCCCCGCACGGGCTGGCGACAGCCCCAACAGCGCGTCTGCGGCTTCCTAGGCGATTAAGAACCTCACGCGCAATCCCCGCACTGCGGGAGGCCGAGGACCGAGTCCCGCCTGGGCAATTCGGAGACCCTAAGAAGGAGGGGACAGGGCGGGAAGGAGGTCCAGGGTGAAGCCGCTGGTTTCCATTTCCAGTCACACACACGCACACGCACACACACACACACACACACACACGCAGGAATCGGACAAGCCAGTCCTCCGCCCTTTCTCTGCATGTGCCCGAGCGCACTGGGTGCGCTCCCGGGCTTCGTGCTCCGCAGGCGTTTCATAACGTGTAACCCTGCCCGGCCCGCAGCGCGGGAGCCGCCGAGGACGAGGGGCGGTCGTTGCTCCAACCCGGGAGGCTACGGGAGGACCTGCGGGACGGAGCGGGTCTGCGGCGGGGCGGGTGCAAACCTGCGCCTGAGCGCAGAGGCCCGCCCAGGTCGCGCGACCTCGCAAACGACGCCGTCCTCGCCGCGCCTGGCCGCGTCCTGCTTTGCGGGTCCCGCCGCGCGGCCCAGGCCGGCCTCGGCCCGGCTCGGGTTCCGGAGACCCCCGGCCTTGCCGCCGCGCCCCGCCCCGACGTCTTCTGCGTGTTGACACCCGCACGCGCGGTTACTGCCCTGCAGCTACCGGTGTGAAGTTTCTTCCTCCTGGGAAAGCACCCACCGCGTCGAACGCCAGAGCGCCTCTTTTCGGAATACTCAGCCCGGAAAGGAGCCTGGACTGGGAAGGTGCTAAGGCCGGACACCGCCGCCAGGTGGCACAGCCTTCGGCGG